GCCCTGTTGGAATGAGCTGTGCATGCTCAGGAAGTTTCTCATTCTTTTATTCCGGGGAGGCAGCTGCTGGATATGAGGTAACTGGGGGGGGTGAAAAACCTTCTGTAAAACGTGAAAGTGGTAGTGAAGGGGCGTCCTGTGGCCTGCAACGCTCGGCGTCATTTATTTGATGGCGTACCCGATGATATGAGGACTAGTAGGAATCCAGTACGGTGTGATGTGGATGCGCCTCAAATTCAGCTCCGAGAAATTAGTTTTCTGCAGCTCCTGCTGCGTCTCTCTGCTCAAGGAGCACCCATCTCCAAAATACTTCCAGACTGGGTCGCAGACCTTCTGCCAGAAGTAGGTCCAACTGGAATGATCGGCAGCCACGTGCTCCAAGAAGTAGAAAGCTCCACCCTGGCAAAGAGTGCCATAAAAAAGTAAAATTAAAAGGACTCAGGGCTGGTCACCTTGGTACGCAGAATTTTACCTTTTGCATATTGGTAAATTTGCTGCCTTTCATCCCTTCTCTGAAAACCTTTTCTGGAGGTTACACGTGCCACAGTCAGGTTTGTTTTGAACGGTGAGGTCTCCCCAGGTGCCTCCCGTTCTGTTTCCGCTGCAGATGGTGGTTATTACTGGCTGCCCACATGTTTACTGATGGGCACAACCTAGGATTGTGCAAGAAGCTTATTTCCTCTTCCCTGGTTTTGCTTGATCAGAATGTACAAGATTGCCTCAAGGAGTTAGTTTGGTTTTCAGCCACGTGCAGGGCTGAAATCTCGTTTGCACCTGGAGACCCTGACCAGTTACACCGATTTAGCTCACCTGTGTGGGTGGGATTTGTGTTGAGTTTATTTTAAACTCTTCCCTGGTTATTCTGAGGTAACTGGAGGAAAAAAGCATTGGAAGGGTGATCTGTAAATGTGGCGTTTCATGAGAGCCACCTCAGTTTATAATGGAAATACGTGCTTAGGTGAACAAAGTTTAAAGAGAGAGGGTCGCTAGAGAACACACACAGCACCCATGAACTTAAATTGTTGTTAATGATTTACCCATGTTAAAATGCACACCCCGTCCTGCTCCCCTCCCCAGATTCCACCGCTGTGCTGCAGCAATCCTGCACCTCCTCCTAGCACCACCTGCGTGATGATTGTTTTCCAACTCGGTCTTGGCCTGGGGTGGGTGGCTGCGTTTTTCCTAAATGTGGGTCAGTGCACACGACTTGGGTTATCACGACACAGCTCGGCCTCCCGGATCCCCCCAGCTTACCCGCCTGAGCACTCGCAAAACCTCTCTCAGGACTTTCTCGGTGTCGGTCACAGAGCACAGCACCAAGGTGCCCACCACCACGTCCACGGCGCCGTCCGGTATTTGACGCAGATCCTCGCCAGAAGCCACCAATGAACGTTCAAGCTTGAGGTGTTGGTTCTCCGAGAGGCTCTTGAGGAGGAACTTGCTGAAATTGGGGTTAGGGTCGGTGCACGTCAGCCGGCAGCCTGGCGGGTAGAACTGGAAATTGGTGCCGGTGCCGGTGCCTATTTCCAGTAATGTGAGCTGGCCTGAAGGGGCTGCAAATTTTCTTAAGTTGCTGAACAGCTCTTGCTTCTGCTTGAAGACCCTCCGGTTGTAGGTGGGCGCCACCTTCGCCATGACGTGCGGGAAGACTTTCTTGTAGAAGGGGTCCCACAAGCCCAGGCAGGCGAGAATGTGGAGGGGGAGGAGGAGGAGCTGGATGCATCGCTGGAGGAAGGGGACGAGCACCATCGCTGCCAGCGGCCGGTTACACGCACCCCCT